AATCGGCATTAGGCTGAAGAAGTAACTTTGGTTCTTACATGTACTTGGAGCCTATGGGCAATTTTTGTAAGCTTCTAGACACTAAAGAAAATCATTTTTTTTTTTGGGCCAATTAAGGAAATGTATGATGGAGGTTACTAGCAAAATTGCTTATAGGCACTTTGTTCCCTCACAAATTTGGAAATCAAAGAGTTTGATATTCATTGCGAGGGGAGGGACTTGAAAAGTTCCTGAGAGGAGGAGAATCAACGGGGCATGGTGGGGAAGTCCTATAAAAGACAAAGAAATTCTCTCTGATCCCTTCTGAACCAATTACGTGCCATCACTCTTCCACGCGGGACTCCTAGTCCAGTTGGCCCCGTCCCCACCTCCCCTTGTTCCCATTTTCTCCCTGTATTTTGCTCCATTGTATGCTATATAACTAGCTAACAGCACCATATTGTTGCACCAACACACATCTCTAAATATCTATATCTTTCCTTGTTTAGCTGCTTCCTAGAATTACCAAGATCTTTGCTGGAGTTGAGGATCATAAGCTCATATGGGGGACTCTTCTGCATCATACATACACATGGTAGTTCAGATGTGTATTACAAAACGCATTTTTTAGAATTATGGTTTTGTGTGTGATTGTTTTTGTGGTTTTTTTTTTCTTTTAGGTGCATCATCTGATAGAGAAGTGTTTGATCTTCCACATGAGTAAAGAAGAGTGCATTGAAGCACTGTCTAAGTATGCAAACATCACTCCTGTCATCACTTCTACTGGTGAGCTGCTCACACTTCCTAGTTCCTACTACTCCTTTAAATCCTCATACAACTAACAGTTGATCTTCAATGACCCAAAAACTAAAACGTAAATTAATTCAGAAAACTGATAAACATTTTTGTAGAAGAATGTCTCCAACATACTTATATTATACTGACAATTACAGCCATCTTCACATGGTATTGAAGGAGGATTAATATAGGCTTATAAACTCAAGTCTTTCTACACACCAATAATTAACCAATTGATTTTTAGTTTGGATGCTTTAACCTCCATGGAAAGTCAAATTTTTTTCATATCAGTTACTTACCCAATTTTCATTTATCCATTTTTCTACTACACTCAAACAAGTCAGATAACTGGTATAACCAAACCCAGTACCCACCTCGCCACCCCTACATTGCAGTACAGAAATCTTGCTGACGGTGTCTTCATGATAATCTCTTATTAATCAAGGTTTTCAAAAGATAAGGAAATTTCATTTAATTTCTTGGAATTTCTAGTTTATTTTTTGTTTACCTACGTGAAGATTGGCATGTTGCATAAAGTTGACAACGTACCTGCCCCTCCGTATGGATGCAGTTTGGAACGAACTGGAGAAGGAGAACAAGGAATTCTTCGAGGCCTATGCTCGATCCCAAAGCAAACAAGGTCATCAGATTGCGTCCGAGGAACAGACAAGTCAAATGATTCACAAGATAATTTCGGATTCCAACAAAGACTCAGATGAATAATACGCCATGGAAGGAAAACGATCTCACCTTAATGTACCATCCCTTCTCCTTGGTAGTTGGCATATATTATTTGACAATATAAACTCATTCCAGTGTTGCTCCCATGTGGTCCTATTACACATGTTTCATTATGGTACGGGAACATCACAGAAGCCTATCAGTGTCCCTACGCTAAATAAAATTATTTATTGAATCAATTTCATGGAAAAGAACAGATAGATATTTATGTAATAGCTGCAACAGTGTCTTATATTGTAATGTATTGTATGTAAGATGGAATGTGCAATCTTTTGAGACAAACAAATGATGTGGGACTTCTTGACTCTTTCTTTGTTTTAGAAGGGGTGAAGATATTGGGCAATAGTTAATATTTATTATTTAACATATTAAAATGAATTTATAAATAAATATTTTTAAATATTATATTAACTATTTATAAAAATTATAAATTAATAAAACTACAGATAAATTAATGATCTTAATAATTTAAATGACAGTAACAACCGAACCTATATCATGGGATAATTTTTTTTTCACAATTTTTATACAATTTACATATATCATTAAATAAATTAATATATAAATACATATAATATGAATATATATGATATTATAATTTCATAAAATAAAAAGAATTATTTATTAATTAATATGTAAAATTATATAAAAAATTATATAAAGAAATTATCTCTTAAATCAATCTCAAAACATAATAAAGTTACGCAGGACTTGCTCTCATGCCGCTGTCATGTACTTTTATTCAGTGCTAGTGGCACCCTGCTTGTCTTTTCTTATTGGTTTAGCATTCTATTTTTCAATTTTTTTTTAGGCTGAAATTTTAGTTTAGCATTCAGAACACTGGAATTTTATCAGATAATACATAAATTTAGAGAGAGGAGGAATTGCAGGAATCACTCTTCATACATTTTAGTAGAAAATAGCATTTTTTTTATTATTATACTGGTAGATGGAATACCATAGTGGTTAGAGAAACAGAGTAACCAGATGGTTTTACATGCCTGACATAAAGTTCTCACCAAGGTCATTAACTAGAGCTGAGGAAGCATCAGTTTTGGGGCTAATTCATGCATTGACCTTCGGCTCCCATCCAGCGATCACGTACTTCTTTTCAGCCTTGGTTTTCACAAATGATTCCCGAGAGAAAATCAACTGCAATCAAGAGATACAGGAAATGTATTTGAATATCAGAACAAAGGTTGTGATCATGGAGGAGTACTCTGAAGCTTCTTTAAATTTTAAAGGGAAGAAATTAGTTGACAGTGTAAGGTTCATAGTCACAGTCAAAGGTGCATTCGCAAGTAATTCTTATCAATGTCACAGCGTCAACCATGCACCAATTCTCACATTTAGATCTCAGATATGATATGTGACCAAAGGAACAAAACATGCAGAACACAACCAGATATAGGTAAAGGAGAAAAGCAAATCGAAAAAGGGGGGTTGGACTTGGGAGAAGTAGTTATTGATAGATTACATGTCTTCAATTTTGCATTACGGAATATACTCCAAAAACTAGAAACTGAAGGAGCCTAACAATAAGAAAAAACTATCTAAAATACTGAATTTACATAGCCTAACTTCGCAAGTTTCAATTGCAGACACGTATTATTGATTACATCTGGCTACCTGCAAAATTCACATTCTCTTGCAATGAATCAGGTCACAAAGCTATTTGGAGTGCCATGTTTTAGGGTAGCTAAGTTACAAAAACTGCAGAGTAAGTAACTTCATCTTTTAAAGGAGAAAATGCTTTAACATGCCTAGCATACCTATAAATGAAAAAACCCATGAAAAGAAATTTGAAGGTCTAATACTTAAATATTCCATTGAGAACTAAAATAAAATAAACTGCAAAGTATGCAGATTCAAGCAAAGCAGTTCTATATATACCTTCATGTAGTTGTGGGCAATGGCCAAGCTTTCTGGGACAGTCCATTTCTTAAAGTGGCCAAGAGCAATCTCAAGATGGTAAAGCTTTGGTCCCAAGCTTAAATCAACAGCAGTGATCTTTTCACCAGCAATGAATTGACCCTGATGCATGTAGCAATAAATTAGTGGGAGTTTCAACAGCAAAAGAAAACAATTAAAAAACCTATTATGAACTCGAAGTGTCAACCAACAGTTTTGCTGCTTCAAATTTATAGTCACTTACATGTCCCTTGAGATGATCATCCAAGGCCTTCAGTTCATCTAGCAAAGCCTGCTCAGACCCATCGTTGGGTTCCTTGCTCTTGACAAACTTAACAAAAGCTCCAAATATTTTTGATCCTCTGCATTACACAAACTGAATAGTAAATGAGAAATCGAATAGAAATGATTCAGAGAACAATCCTCCAGGGACGCTTCTTTTAGCAAATAAATGATTCTAGGAACAAAAGCAATGCATGTTTTTGGACCAAAAGTTGAGAACTTTCTCCCTAAAACATAAGCCAATAAAGTCACATAGGCCAATCACAGGGAAACAAAAACCACACAAAGACAATAATCTCGACATCACATTCCACTGAAAAGGGAAGAAAGAAAAATCAAGGTTATCAGTCATTTGCAGACCCAGCTCATAGGCAGGCACAGCAAAGGGATGAACATATGTTATAAGAAAGCACAACAACATACAAAAAACCAGTGCTTTCTACTGCATCATTAAAGACACAAAAGGCTCAAAAATTGACATTTTACTGTACTTTAAGTCAACCAAAAAGATAATAAATAACGCAGCAAAAGTAACACAAATTAGTCAAAGGCAGGAAGGAAGCGGGAAATGGGAGACAATATGTATAGGTGTTTGAGGAGAGAGGCGCATACACAGAGGCAAATTCAGGTGGAGTGACGAGAGAAGGCTCAGGGTACTTCTCTTCAAG